AGCTGAACTGGAAACAGCGTACCTAACAATCGCTGCGCGGATGAGGATTGCGTGTTTAGCTTACTCGTCTTCTATTAGAAGTTAGCCCCCCGCATGGCAACGCTGTTGGCTTACTAAGCCAGCTTGGCTCATGCACTCGCAACCGCATGTGCAACAGCACAATGCGCTTGACGTCGATTGGCTATCCACAATCGTCGCCTGTCGCTTTCTTTTCCACATGCGGTAGTGAGTTCAGATGCGACTGGGCAACCGCCGTCCTGTTAATCTCTCCCCATCAACGCCAACCAACGGCCACTGTATACCAACACTTGAAATTAGCTTTCGTTTGAGATAAACTCACTTTGATCATGTCCTGATAACGTAACTTCGGTTTTCCCATGTGCTGCTTCCCTGCACGCAGTTGGCCATAAAGCAGCTGTTTCGGTATCCGCATCGAATCCATATGGCTGATATGCCCAATATCTATAGTACTGCGACCCGAACGGAATCGGCAATGATCTTCTGCCACGTGCGATTCAACGATCTGAGTGACTAGGAGGTTGATCAGGATTCGTACGATCACATAACCAACAGAGCTCAGCGAGCTGATGCCACGATACTTCGTGCAACATTGCTTGTTCCCTTTCCCTTGTACAGTGGTAGCACAAGGGCATGCTTCAGGTCAGCCGGCACTTCCTCTTTAATTTACACGAGTTGCACCAAGAGGTGCAGCGTAATAACTAAGGCAAATCTACCGTGTTTCAACACTTCAGGTGGGATCCCGTCAGCTGCGGTGTACTAGCCGCTTCGCAGCTTAGCAAGTGCTCTCTGCGTCTCATAAAGCGTTGGTGTGCCGTCAACATCTTATTCTCTTGCTCTTGCATCCCTTACAACAAAGACCAGTCAATCTTTGAACGGTGGTTCAAGAGAGTAGCAAAGTGCGTTCGTCAGATCTGCATTATGCCTACAGTCCGTGTGCAGGCAGCGCCTGAAGTAGGATCGAGCAACGTGAGTCTATATGCTGCCTACAAGGAATAAAAGAATTCCTTTTGTTGTCGGCGTTCGGCGTAGCATTCTATCTGGTTCGCCTTCTCTGCCCACCATGAATTCTTGATGCGACAGATCACTCGAGTCAATCACCATCGAAGTTTACGAAGATGACCCCTCCTCGGAGTCGGTAGGTAGGTAGCAGTAGCAAATGCAACATTCGTCGTTGACACCAATGTACCAAGGATTGAACTGCTATCACCAAATTAATAGGACCGCTTAAAGTTTGCGCGCCCATTAGTTTGTTCGGCCGCAGCAGTCACCTGGTCACGGATGTGGTGCGACAGGTCGCTCACTGAGGTGATGGATTCGACTTCTCCAAGAAGAGTAGCCATCGACTTCTCCAATTCCATGTTCTTCGTAGCAATACCTTGAGAAGGAACATTAAATTTGTACCGTTGATTCCCGTCAGGCGAACAATACATACTTACGAAATAGACGTACGATTTCGTCTGCATCAATTTGTGAGCAGTGCCACACTCAGTTCCACGCAGTACATGTGCCATGCACACTTCACGCATTTCCAGCTGGCGTACGATGACACAGTCGAGCAAGTGAGTGTGACCACTCAGTATGTGCGTCCAAGTAGCTATATCATTCGCACACAGTGAAAACCGGGTGTACGCGATCGTCAGGCCGTGAGTGGTGCACAGTGAGAGCAACCGGTCACAGTTCCCATTGCTTGTGTCAACACCATACACACCGATTACGTCTGCCTACACTGCTGAATGACGCTCAAAGTGAGAGTTGAAATCACCCAGTAGAAATAGCCGGTCGTTTCTCGACAGAGACCGCATCACGGAGAACAACTGAGAGTAAAACGGATCGCTCGCGTCTTCAGAACAACAGATGGTGGGAGCATACGTGCTAATAAGTGTCAAACTTACCTCTTCTAAGTCGCAGACGGGGAGTTATCAGCTCTGAGTTAATGCCAGTCGGCTCTGCCAGCAGCTGGCCATTTAGGCGTTCCGATAGTAAAAATTGGACCCTAGGTTCACGTGGTACTGAGGTGATGTTTCCAACCCAGCAGAACGTGTAACCAGCACCAGCCTAATGCAGCTTGTCATGCTCAGGGAGCCGTGTCACACTGAGTGCTGCAATATCGATTCCGTAGCGTGCAAGCCCCATCGCCACCACTGCCGTGCATCGCTCGGGACGCTTATTAGTGTTCCGGTCGAGTAATGTGCGCACCTACCAGCACCCGATGTTGAGCGCTTTGCGCGGAGTCGTACGGTTGCACTGGCGGGCAATCGCATTGGTAATTAGCTGGGTTAAATGAAGTAATGGGTTGGGTGAAACGGGGACGGAGAGCGTATGTGTAGAGAAGGAAGTAAAAAGGGAGGTGTCAGAGGTCATCATCAAAACACGTCAGTTGAGGGCGAGAATCACACCTCAGATAATGTGCCGCAATACAAAAAGATGAGATACAAAAAATTACACTATACAAATTAAAAAGCAAGTAATGTAATGTTAAATATCATATTATGTAATTCGTGTGAGATCGGAATTGGGGAGGGAATCTAAAAGGGAGGAGATGGACAAAGAAACTCACAACACAAACGCCATTGGGGCCGGCTCTTCACCATATTAGCACGCGTGTCCAACCAAACGTGCACATCGCCCTTAGGACCCAAGCCAGGCAGTCGGGATGCATCAAACAACGCCAACTTCGAAGTGAGGGTTTTCACTGCCCTCGACAAAGCCATGGCTTGGTCTCCCTTCCTCCTCTTCCAACCGCACACCGGGCGCGCAAAAAATACAGTCGCGAGAGTCGGTGTGCTGGCATGCGCAACAAGTGGCCCAGCTAGCGGAGCCTGGTGCATGATATGATGTTGAGCGGTTCACTAGCCCTTCTTGCACCAAATACGCGACACCGAACATGATCATTGCTTAGGCGGTGCTTACACCAGATCTGACTTAAGCTGCCAAGGCAGTGAAGTTCGAACGCAACTAGCCTCCTTATGCCTGCAGACTTGATTCGCCAGGTTTCTCAACCGTATAAGAGGTTTGACGGACGGCTGCATTATAAACTCTGCCCTCAACGGCCAGAATAATGTCGTGTCGGAGCGACACATGGCGCAGGCTGGCAAAAGCACCTCCGGCTTGTGCTATACGGTTCCTAATCGCACCTTCGATGCCATAGGCTCTCCCATTGTCTGGTGGGTAAGGCAATTGAGCCAAACGCTCGGGGCGGAGTCCTTCAAGCAAACCTCCGAAGCACAACCACCACCTCGCGTGCGATTGCCCACCAAGGCAATCGTATGCCTGCGCACAAAGCACTCAATATCGGGTGCTGGCCGGTGGCCGAGTGGTCGGCATGTTTGCTTTCCAACTATAAGGTCACCGGTTCGAATCCGCGTATGGGTGGGCGTCATCGCGGTATACTTAGCCCGCGCGCGACTGGTGGTGGTCGCGCGGCAGCGAAGCGCCGTTACGGCGTATAAGCTGACATTTGCTGGAACGTGCGCACATTACTGGACCGGAACTCGAGTGAGCGCGCCGAGCGACGCACTGCACTGGTCGCGATGGAGCTGAAGCGTTACCAAATCGATGTTGCGGCGCTCAGTGGGACCCGGCTCGATGAGCAAGGTAAGTTGCATGAAGCAGGTGTTGGCTACACGTTCTACTGGATAGGCAACGCCGCTTCAGCCCCATGTGAACATGGAGTCGGATTTACAATATCCGATCGCCTCCATGGCCAGCTCGCGAGTGAACCAACAGGCATCAGCGGGCGACTGATGACCGTTCGCTTATGACTCGGGGGAGGTAAGTTTGTCATCTTCATAAGCACTTACGGTCCGACCATGTGTTATCCTGATGACACGCGTGATCAATTCTACACTCAGCTATCCTCCGTGATACGGTCTGTGCCGAGGAGCAACCGACTATTTCTGCTGGGTGATTTCAACGCGCGCGTTGAGCGTGATGCATCAGCGTGGACAGATGTTATCGGTCCACATAGCATTCGTTCAGCGAATGCGAACGGTGACATGTTGCCCTCACTGTGTGCTACTCACGGCCTGACAATCACGAACACTCGGTTTGCACTGAGTGCGAGTGATATAGCAACTTGGACGCACCCACGGAGTGGTCACGCTCACCTGCTCGACTATGTCATCGTACATCAGCGTGATATGCCTGAAGTGCGCATGACACGTGTACTGCGTGGAGCTGAGTGTGGCACTGATCACAAATTGGTGCGCACCAAACTGTACATATATTTTTGTAAATCTATGTATTGCACTCCCACCGTGAATCGGCGTCAATTTAACATTCTCTCCCTCGGTACTGCGGCGAAACGTATTGAGCTGGAGAAGGCGATGGCTGTACGCCTGTGTGATGTCGACTGCATAGCCACAGTGGGCGACCTGTGGCAGCACATTCTCGACCAGGTGACAGCTGCTGCCGAGGAGACCACTGGGCGCGTAAAATGTAAGCGGCCGGCGTGTGAACCTTTAGGCCACTTGTCTACAGGACTCACTAGGCCGGGTACTGTTAGTGCGCCTCGTCCTCCGAAATGGAAGACAGGCTTCGCTAAACATATTACAGGATATGACGCAACAGTTTGCTGTTCGTGACCGCAAGGCGTTATAAAATGTGCGCACCTTGGTCCTTGATGTCAAGGTTCTACATTAGCTTCCTGTTTGAACATCGATCAATCCCCACTGACAATGTCGTATCACTTTATCAAGAACTGCGTGGGAGAGGAGCATCAATACATGTCTTCGATGAGACATGTGTTGTTCATGATGACAATAAAGCTAATGTGTAGGACAAATGATAAGGCAAATAAGCTATTTTGTGACGTGATTATGGAAACAGGCCGGAAATCAGAGTAATAATGAAGTTGCGGTTGCTAAGGAAATTTCGATAGGCCCTCGTAGTGCAAGTAGTGGATAGTCGAGTGACTCATGAAAAAGAAACAAACTAGTTCAAACGCATCCAAAAACACAAACAACTCGGAATACGTATACCTGTGATCCTCGCAGTTCTGCCCAGGAAAGTACGAAGGACAGCAACTGCTTGGCCTTACATGCCTCTCCTTGATCAAACGAGGGAGCGAAAAGTTCGTTCCATTCTTTTACAACAGCACGTGAGAGGCATCGTCCGGCTTCATAAATGAGGTACTCATTTGAGGTTTTGTCTGAAAGTGGGAATGTCATGAATTGAGAGAAAAAAGTCAAGTGCAAATGGAAAATCAGTGACACTTGAATAGCATTTCAGCTGAATAGCGGTATCGCTGGATCCAGCGTGAATGTAAAACAAGCCAATGTGTTCTTAGATGACTAGAAATCGACCTAGGGGTGATAGCGTCACTAAAGCAAAAAGAGCGATAATATGCGGAAAACCTAATGACGATCTTAAGAAGACATTTTAACAACAGATCGTCTAAGTAAAGCTGCACCATAACGGAGAATTCAAAGACCATGTATCGACTAAGGTGAGATGTAGCAACAAATGTGCTAGGCTTCGGAGCAAAATGGAGAAGTACATCATAAACCAGTTAGCTACCATGACCAACTCTGTAGGCACACGGAACAATAAGAAAAATAGCTAAACTCACGCCTAGCATGTAAAGTAAGACTGTTGTCACCAGCATCATTCTACAAGTTAGCTAGTGAGCAATAGAGCAATGGTTTGTGACGGGTATAAAAGCGAATGCTTGACGTGGTGAGCGTAAAAATCACAAAATAAAAAACGTGTCAGTAAAAGAACGTGTGAAACGCAAGTAGGAGTATCTCTCAAGATTCCCACAGGCACCACCCAGTATAGCTTAATGGGTCAAGGAGGTACGCAAACAGTCGCAAAACGTTAAGATCCAGTCTCGTTGAGACAGAGTGCCAGTTCGTGGACTCAGATGTCTACACTAGCACAGTCATGGTAATAGTAGTCGACAATGAAGAAAAGGGTGCAAACACACAATGTTTATAAAGAGGACGAAAAGCGTAACAATATTCAGAGTTTTGCGAATGAAACGTAACTATAGGGAGAAGAACGCCACTAACTCACAAGGTGTACGATATCAAAAAAGCCTCTAATCCTACACATGGACGGGCAAAGGCCCCACACTTATAAGGACAGCAAAAAGGGACGAAACAGTCGCCTTGTTTGTTTTGGACGTAACCCAAATGAAAGCGGAACAGTATCTTGTCGCGATCAAACCATCAATAGCACCGCCAGCCTATTGAGAACGTAAACGTCACAAGGTGAGCAGAGAAAATGACACAGTTCAGTCGGAACACAATGGGTACAGACGAGCCGCTAGTAGCACGGATGGCTAACTGATTCGGTGCTGAAGTGAAGTGATGCTAGACAAAAAATTGCGTTTCTATTTCCCCTGTTATGGCATTTCGATGGCTTCGCATATCAAATGATGGCGGTTGACCCCGGAAAAGGATAAGACTAAAGGATATTACAGTGGTAAAGAACGGTAGATCTGGCACATGTGACGAACCTATATGTGTCTCTGGGGATGTAAATTATTAAAACTGCGAGTTCTATGGAAATAAGACAGATGTGCCAAGCAAACTATCACCAAGAGTGATGAAGCCGTTAGTGGAGTAACAGGACAGAATAGGCGGATGACACGTGGCAGGCTCCAGGAAAGTGCATTTAAAGGAATAACGATAAGAAGCAGTGGGGGAATGTAAAGTGAATCCAAAAGCCACACTGAGATAACTGTACCGGATTTGAAGGCATCCTTGTAGCACTCCAAATGATAAAAGATCGTTGTGTCCTGTTTAGACGGTTAATGTTGCTCCGCCTTTCTTTTCGCCTCTCCTTCGTTTACCAAATTGCTGAGTCAACGCATTCGTGCTCTTTCTCATCATCTACCCAGCGCAATGAGGCTGGACGTTAGCGTGGTGTGATGGTTTGTGTGCCTCAGTGATCCATTCAGCTATGCTTGGTGGTGCTTTCGCACCTTCAGAACCACTCATACCAGACTGGTCAATGGTTAGAGGCTCAGCCTCCTGGGCCTCCAGTTTTGGGGTTGGAAGGAGGGTGGCAGCTTGTTCCTTAAAATGGACTCCTTGTAGCCCAATGCCAAACCCGCTGCCTTGCGGACAGGTTTTTGAACCAAAAACTTTGCTTGAGAACCCTAATCGTTCTCCTGTCTAGGCCTGGGCAACCTGACAGTATCCTGCCCACGCAATACAAGGGATCTCTTCAAACAAATTTCTGATGCTCTGGCCACCGTGGAGAATAACCAACGGTGCCCTATCTGCTGCATCGAGCAGAGTGGATAGGGGTTTGGGTGATACAGCTCAAGCCTTTCCGTCTTCTTATTCCCCCTCTTACGCTTTTTCTCCCTTATGGTCCTGTTCCAACTACACTTTTATCTCCCCGATTCTTGGCCCTCCCCCAACATCCTCCGCTAGGCGTTTATCTTCCAATTTCAACTCACATGCTAACGCGGAGCGTCACCCGTGTCCCGTCGACAAGCCCATGTCTAACCAAGCGGTTCATTCTAGTTCATCGGCTTCCATTTGGAGCCCTCGATCCTCCTTCAGATTGGCATGCCTCAATGTACGCACACTGCTACACATCGGTCAACAGGCAGCACTTGCCTGACCATTAGAGACCCTCCCGATCGATTTCTGCTGCTTATCGGAGACCCACCTGCAAGACTCGAGCTCTGTGCTCACTCTGCGATCCCCTTCAGTTTACACAAACAGTATTTTCTCACTGCGCCTATCTGGTGACGATGCAGCTTCCAGCACCGGCTAAGCCGGTGCTGGTATTGCCCTGAGTCCCCGGGCTGAAGCTGCTCTGGTTGATTGGATTCCAATCAGTGGTCGGATGTGTGCGGTCCGATTGGCTGGCTCGTTCAAAGCTTCGAAGTCGCGCAGGACCATTAGGTGTCTATTTATCATCGCTGCCTACGCGCCCACAAGCTGTAGCGACGATTCAGTAAAGAACGACTTCTACCGCCAACTGACCCAGCTCCTCTGCCACAGAAGAAGCATGGACACTGTTGTGCTGGCCGGGGATCTGAACGCACAAGTTGGAAAGTTGTCCACTGATGAAATGCATCTGGGCGGTCAGTACGGTGTAGGCTCCCGTAACGATAACCGTGAGCGGTTACTTCATTTGTGTGAAGATGCTCGCTTATTTCTTGTGAGCACTAACTTCCGACACAGCACCCGCCGGAGGGTGACTTGGCGCCCACCAGCCTCGAAGCAGCCTTGGACGCAGATCGATCACATTGCAGTTACCGCTGGAGAGGCTGCATCCAGAACTGTCGCTCGATTTGGAGCACATGTGTGAACACACTTGTACGTGCTGACATGCGTATGCGTTTTGGCGGACGCCTAGGAGGACCCTGTGAGCGCATTGACACCAGCAAACTGACAAAGCCAGCTGTTCTGAATGCCTACCAAAATACGCTGTTATGCGAGTTGAGTATGCGCTCACTGGAGACAATTGAAGGTCACCGATCGCACATTATTTACAAAACACAACTTATTATGTGTGGAGCTACTCCCAGGAGAACGACTTCTTGACTTGGAGTATGCCGACAACACTGCCCTCATCTGTGACAGCTCCCAGATGTGCCAAGCCGCGCTGGACAGATTAGTACCGGTTGTCAACCGCTTCGGGCTTTGCTTTGCACCATCGAAATGCAAAGCGTTCCTCCAAGATTGGCAGGGATCGCCTCCTGCGCTGACCCTTAGTGGGGAACAGCTAGAAGTCGTTCAGAAATTCTACTACCTGGGAAGTTGTATCAGCGCCCTTGGGATCGAAGACGAGATCACGAACCGTATAGCAAGAGCTCGTAGTGCCTTTGCTAACCTTCGCCACCTATGGCGGCGGCGCGACATTACTCTCGTCCTGAAGGCTAGAGTGTACAATGCAGCGGTACGTTCGACCTTAATGTACGGTTGCGAAAAATGGCCCCTAAGATCAGCGGACATAAACAGGCTAGTTATGTTCGACCATCGGTGCCTTCGCAGTTTGGTGAGAACACCGCGTGAGTAACGAGCGTGTTCGACGCTTTGTTTACGGCACAGGAAAAGGAACTGAACCGTTCAGTACCGTCATTTCACGCACCAGGCTCCGATGGTTCGGCCACATGTTGCGTATGGCAGCCTACCGACTTCCGCGGCGCGCGTTGTTTGCTCACCGTGGGTGTGGATGGAAGGAGTGGCCAAGCAATGAATTGATTCAGAGGAATGAAACCCCTCACTTCGCAACTGGCCTCGGTTGGAGCGTCACGGCTTCCTGGTTGGGGTCCGAAAGACGATGCACGTATTTGGCTGGATACACTTGTTGATATGGCAAAAAGTCGGCCTGTGGCGTTGCTGCTGAGTTTCCTTGTCACTCCCCATCCGTTTTAGCCACCTCCTCCAACCATGATCTCAGTTTGTAGCGTAATATAACGTCACATAATACTTTTTCTTGTTGCCTAGTAGCCAGCTGGTAACTTACCGGAACGACGCCCATCCGTTGCTACTAGCTCAGCTGGCATGCAAGTTGTATTTATTTTTCTTTTCTATTATGATTGCGGCACAGTAGCTGAGGTGTTTCCCACCTCTAGCTAACGTGTATAATGTTGATGACGATACCCATGTCGGACACAGCCCCCTGTCAGTAGCAGCAACTCACTTAGGTGATATTATCTGAGCGCATTTTCTACCTACTTAGGTCTGTTACGAGATGGTTGTGAGAATAACATCCAACCGCCTACCCTGGTAGTACCACTGGACGGTCAACTGTCCGATTGCCGTCCGCTTCCGGATGGAAATCAGTGTGTAAAAAGCGAAAGCACGATATGGTTAAAAGCAGTACCCAATGCTACCTAAACGATTAGAAATAATCAATAACGCATAAGAAAATTGTTTGCGAGTAGATGGCTACTAGCATGATTAAGTTCTGCAAGTTTTTTGTGCGTCCGAGTTCCGTCCGTTATCGGATTGTAATCGGCGTGTGAGAACTCAAGGCCTTAAAGTCGGACAAAAAGGGTTACGAGATGAAAAAAGCGTGCCTAACATTATCTAACACATAGTTTCATTACTACCCCGATCAGGTAACTTCTGGGCAATACATGTATCCTACTACTCATTGGAACGAAGCAGACTAAGGGGAGACCTGATAGAAACATTTAAGTTCATAAAGGGTCTCAGCAGTAGTAGGCCTACTGATCTCTTTGAATTAGTTACATCGGACCAAATGCGGGGACACCATTTGAAACTCAAGAAGCAGTGGCTCAGACTGGATATGCGGGCGAACTTTTTGACTAACCAGTTAATGAAAATTTTTGCTGCCGCGTAGTAGGTAGTTGGAATTTAGCTTCGCATGCACCAATGGAATGTAATGCGATAGAAGGGTTTAGGATGTTTAGGTATGAAGTGGTCCTCCGTTTCCCGAATCGCACTGAGAGTAGTGGATTCCAATTAGTACCAAATAGCCTGCGGTCGATAGGATGTCATGAATGGTTTCGTGAAGTTATGGGAGGGTGCTCCTACACCCTACTGTCTCTGCAGAAATGAAGGACCTTGGACGTTGTAGTACCAAGAGCCTTGACTTTGTCTATCGGCACACAAAACGGGACGCTCGTTAGGCGAAAGCTTGTTTCATTCCTAACTACCTGATCAGACCATAAAATGGTGTTTTGGGGCGCTGCTAGAGTTCCGTAGGTTTCTTCAAGATTGTATGCTGCTAGTGTACGCGCTAAGAAACAATCAATAGGAATTAAAATTAGGAATCTATGGGAAATCAGATTAGGAATTGTTAACAGTTTTTGTTTTGACTGTCCCAGGCCCGTCCGAAATTTATTCCACCGTAGCTTTTTTCGGATAAAATCGGGCGGTCAACGGACTCAAATTGGATAAAAATTGGTCACTCGTGCAACCAGGGTACGAAGTGTTTGTTTTACGTTTCAGCCTCATTATTTTCTTGTTACCGACCATACGTGATGGACGCTGAGGAAATTTGAATTTCGAGCCGATACACGCGTGCGATGCGCGCTTCTCTCGTTCACAACGGCCTTAAAGTTGACTCACTGGGTCTTGCAGACACTGCTCACTTGCTCTTACCAGGAGCATTGCACGTCACAAAACTGGCGACCACATGTAAAGGACGCTAAAGAAAAAATGAATACATAGTCGATACGCGCGTGTGACATGCGCTTTTCTCATTCTCACAAGGTGCGTACGTGAACCATTGCGCCCTGCTCCCGTTGCATATCCGTTCCTGTTGGGAGCATTAGGTTATAGGGCTACAAGGCAGGACAGGACAGAAAAGGATCCAGGGACGAAACAAGCTTCCGCTTAACGAGCGTCCCGTCTAGTGTGCCAGTCAGCGATAAAGAACCCAAGCACTGCGACTTGATAAAATGTTGTTGATTCTATAATGGTGAAAAACAAGCAAGTGTAAGACGACCAACACGCTTTCATGAAGTCATGAGATTAGGGGCAGTCACCAAATCTAAAGAAAATTTTGGGAATAGGACCAGCCAAGGTTTGTTTAGGCCAGGTTTAAATTCCTCTAGTTTCGCATCCCAATAGAGCAGAAGTTTATCCCAACTCGGCACAACCCGGTATGCGAAGAACTTGGCTCTTAACTCTGGCCTAGATCGATGCTGCTTCAATTTCATGCAATGGCCCTGCAAGTTGTCTGGTGTAGCTGATTCCAACAGATCGATGGGCCTGAGAGCACGGTGCCTCTTCATGATTTTGAACGTCTCTATTAGGTTATCTCTCAAGCTGCGCCTTCTCATTAAAAATAAACCTAGGTTAGCTAACCGATCTTCCTACGATAACCCACGCTGACCTTCCATCATTCAAGTGGCCAGTCTGCACATTCTCATCATCATCATTATCAGCATGATTAACCGCAGTACATCAGCCATTTCGAGATGCTTCGCTACCATACAACCATGAGAACCTGTGAGATAAAGAATAAGAAAAGGGAGAGAAGGGGGACTTACCTGAAAACCTTATTGCTCCAAGCAAATATTCAGAGTCGAGGCGCCTACACATTGTGTAGACAACATACCGTCACAAACAGCTGGCTATCATGCAAACATAAGGCGGCATTGGCGAGACAGCTTCCTTGCGGCTTTCACTGCCACGCGTCATAATTAGCCATTACCCCGCAGATAACTCAGCACCAAACACACTTTAAACAGGCAATCCGATTAGGAGACGGCAGCAGACGCGCCACTGGCGTCGGTTGCGAGCCATGTTCTGTAAAGTCTCGAGCCAAACAAAAGACGAGTCACGTGGACTTCAACTCGGAAGGCGAGACGGACCAACAGCACCCAGTTTGGTTGTCAGTGACTTCATTTCCCGCTGCCAAGTCAACTTCTGTCCACCTCGTGCCCTGCGCCACCCTACACCTGGTAGACTAAACAACGCCCTCTTAGGTAAGCGGTGACCAGGCATACGTAGCACGTGCCCAAGCCAACGCAACTTATCCAGTGCTATCTTGTTCTAGGGAGCTACCGTGATTATCACCACCTAGTACTCGCCTACGCACATCATCGTTGCGGACAAGCTGGTGTCATCCGACACCAGCAGTGCTTCGCAGACAACGATGATCAGACTTGAAGGCGCCTCAGAGCTTCAGACCGAAGGGGTCAAGTCTCACTCCCATACAGCAGAACGGCCCTCACTGTGGCCTTGTATACACGGCCTTTCAGACGGAGGGAAACACCCTTCTGTCGCCAAAGATGCCGCAGGTTCAAGAAGGTAGCGCTGGCTGTTGCAATGCGTGAGCTGACGTCAGTTTCTATGCGCCCATCATTGCTGATGCAGCTGCCAAGATAAGTTAAATGATCAACCACCTCGAGTTCCTCGTTAGCAAGCGTCAAGGGGTCATCAAGTGGCTGGTGGTCCTGCAGCAACAATTTGCACTTTGAAGGTGCGAAGTGCATACCAAATAATGGAACCACTCTGGACAGGCCATTCAGAGTTGATTGTGCCGCTGAAACATCGTCGAAAAGCAAGACGATATCGTCCGCATAATCTAGATCAACTAATCTTTCACCAGGCAGCAGTTCAACACCTACATCGTGAGAATCCGAAAGGTAACACTCCATAATAGAATCCACGACGAAATTGAACAAAAATGGGGAAATCGGATAACTTTGACGAACACCACTTGTAATCGGAAAGCCATCCGATAGGACACCGTAGACCCTGACGCGGCCTATAGTGTTCGAGTATAGAGCACGAAGGATGTTCACATATTTCGTGGGAACAACTTTCCGCGCAAGTATTTCGAGCGGAATGCATTGGTCGACTGAATCGAACGTACTCTTGAAACCAAGGAACACAGCTGCTGTCGGTCTGCGGTATGCGTGGCGCTGCTCTAGCACCTACCGCAACGTGAATATATGGTCTATACAGCCACGTCCTGGGCGGAAACCGGCCTGCTCTTCCCTGCACATTCTCAATGCAGGTAGGGTTCACAGGTCTGAACAGTATTCCAGATGTGGTCGGCCCGTAGCCTAGAGGTAACGAGCTCGTCTCGTAATCTTGCAACGCGGGTTTGAATCAGCGCAGGGGTGGGCGTCCTCGCGGTATACTTAGCCCGCGTGCGACTGGTGGCGATCGCACGGCAGCGAGTGTACTCAAAAGATAAGGATCCAATCGAGGTCTGAAACATTCCACCGACTGCGAATCAACGACATACACAGGAAGATTGTTCCACTCGTTCACTACTCTGGTAGACTGACGTCGCAACAAACCCGAAGTCTCCTTTGTTAACACAATTTCCAATGGTGACCCCGAGTCGAACTGAAAGAATTGAGTGAAAAGAAATTCTGCAGTTCAGCTACAAGTTCACCTCTAACGATAAGTCGTGTGAAAATCAAATCTCCGCGATCTCGACGATAAGCTAGAGAGAACAAGTTCAGGCGCTGAAGACGATTTGAGTAAGACATGTTTCATAAATCCAGAATGGATTTAGATCCTCTCTGCTAAACCTTTTCAATCAAGTTACGTTCAAAGTTGGAAAGATGTTAAAGAGCTGGCAGTCCATACTCAAGAATCGGACGTACATGAGAAGTGAACACGAGTGAGATCTCCGGATTCAAGCAGGAGAAAGATCGTCCTATAGCAAAAAAGAACCAGCTGGCAGAAGCGACTTTCCTCAAGGTATCTTCAGACAATTTAGGTCTGGGGTCACGACGCAAAAGTTCCTCTCACGATTAGAGTTTGGCAGCAAAAAGCCACCGATACGATAAATTTCAAATGGTTCGGAGGCACCGATCAGAAGAACGGAAGATTTATCGTGTTTTATGGGTAATTGACACCTGATCGACCAATCCTTCCGCGAATCGGGCCTTGTTTGTGTACATCAGCTTCATCCACAGAGGAGACTTCCATCCATAGCTTTATATCATCCGCGTAAATCAAACAATCAGCCTGTAGTAGACGCCAGGTCATCAAGAGGCTTTAAAAATATCAGGGCCAAGAGCACAGCCTTGGGGAACACCTTGGTCATATTTAAAGGGAAGCATAGCGACTCATTTACTTTCACACCGAAAGCGCGGTCATGCAGGAAATCAGTGAGCCAAGAGAGGATTTTTCCTTTTGTACTGCAGCTAACGTAGAAAACTTCGGAACATGTGGAAAGTATTAAACTTAGCATCGCGTCGTTTAACCGTTTTAGCAATTCTCCATTAGTTAGCGTGCTTTTTAGAATGTAGGGGAGCGAACACAAAAAACATTACGGCAATCACCATGTAGCAAACCCAGGATTTATAGATGCATGATTTATTGCACTGTCTCTCGTCTCTAATGGAAAATAAAACGAAACTTCGTGTTTTATCAAGAGACTTGAAATGTTATTAAGCTATTGTGACCTAAAATGTATTTCGGGATTGCAGGCATTGCTGTTTTCAAATCCTTCCGAAATCGTGGACTTATAATCAGTACCAAGTATAATTTAAGGTCGTATATTCGGACAGTACGGTGGAACACAACAGCTCTGAGGCGCTCACTCACTCACTCAGGATGAAACAGCATAAATCATAGGGTCGGGGTTGTTCCCTGAGCTGAATAATCTGCGCCTCAGCTTGCCTTCTAGCTTGAGCATCGCATGCAGTCTACAGAAGAAATGTGAATTGCACGGAATGGTACCAGCAGGACTGCAGCGGAAATCTCCAACTTCGCAAGCAACCCATCCATGTGACTCAGACGGAGCGGCCCATCGCATAACGTCTAAAAAACCATCGTCAAGCTGGAGTTCGGTACAATTCAGCACAGCCCTGAAATAGCAGCATATTCTCTAAAATTCGTTCCAACGTTTCGTCGATAAACAGATCTGATTACTGAATATTTTCAGAAAATAAAGAGCATCGATCATTAGGCACATCTACATAAACAAATGAATGGTAAATACTGTTAAATATAACTGCAACTTATACTTTTTGAAAGCTACTTATAACAAAATCTTTAAAGCAACTTTCGTTGCAAGCGTCGATTCAAGGATTGACGTGCTTGCTGTACTAAAGAACAATGCGCATATCATATTCAAGTGACACCGAATGTGCAACCAACAACCTTGACGTATCTGGAATCGACCTAGAGACAGTTGACTAATGTGGACTACTCCGGCTACGCACAGAAACGGTGTGCCGTTACTGTTGCTACATATTTATTACCTAAAGTTTTTATTTTAATTTCTAATATGCGTATACATGTACCTGCGTTCTAGGATCTAGGCAGTGATTTATTGCATTAGTTTCTATACCCATAATATGCTCTAATTCAGCTGGCATTGGAACAGCAGGAAAGTCTCTTGAATGTCCTTTCTTTTTTGGTTCCATGAACCATGAATTGTTTTAGCGCTACTAAACCTTGAAGGATCTAAAACGAAATACCGTACTATACCCTGATCAAGCTATTACAACCCACGTAACCTGCACTAGCAGTCCTCGCTGTGCAAGTCACGCGAAGTAAAGTAGAGATAGCCAAACGGGATGAGGGGAAAGTAAAATCAATATAAGAAACGGAAAACTTCAAAGGATGTAGTATGACAGAAGATTTAACTCGAACTTGGAAGACGTAGAAGATCACGATTGGAGCAATGTTCCGTTTTACCACGCGTGAGTGTTTACCTGACGCGTGTGACCCTCAGCCGTAGGTTCACTGACTGCGCTTTCAGGGATTCACTAGCAGCGCTCAAGCACTACGCCCTACCCGAGTTTTCGCCCTGTTCCGCTCGGAAGGAGGCGTGTGTGGTTTCTTGAGGTTACCGCGAAGTCAAGGCAACCTCCCCCGGCTAAATAATCAGCTTAAGTTTAATAACGAAACGTCTGCAACAGAAATGCCCAGCTCGGAGAACATGGCAATATTTTCATCCACATCCCGAGCTACAGGTATTCTCAATAATTTCCAAACAATTCGGGCGCGAGGCGCTAAAATCCGCTCGCCGATGGGAGACATTTGCTAACCGGCAATCCTCCACTCACGAGCAAGCAGGCAACAATCCATAGTCATTCAGATCTGGCATTGGTTTGCGAGACTCCGCGAATCAGCACTAAATAGCTGCATTGAAGAAGTTACCTAGTATGGTAACGAAACGTTTGCAACAAAAATGCTCGGAGAACAGGACAATCCTTTCAGCTTAATTCCAGTGCAACCTTTCATGTTAAAATACTGTAACTAAGGAGTATGTCTCCTCTAAGCCGTCAGTGGTGCATTTAATGCATACCTAAATTAAGTAGATGCCCCGGGTACGATTGCCACTTAAGCCCTTGCCCATTTTTGTACCTAATCTCAAATCCCTTTCGAGCTCCAATTTTAAACTCGAACAAGATATTGCGGGCAAGCTTGAATGGGGAACTCTTGGTGCGGCTGATTGAACGTCGAGAACAACTTCACAAATATGTAGGCAGATATTCCCCTGAAAGAAAAGTCAGTAAGTCAAGCAGTCTGTGTAAGTTGTATAGACCTAACTGGGTAAATTTTCAGCCTTTTACATCATCAACTGTAAATGTACCAAACTGACAACATCAACAAGGCAAAACTTACAGATGGTTAGTAACCAGATTATGGTGAGCACTTATAACTCGTTCGCGCAACTAACCCATAACGTTGAACTATTTCGTAGGTTTGGCCTCATGCTGAACGGAAAAGGTTTCAGTAAAACGTTTCTAAATAATTCGTTACCTTAGACGTAAACCTTTGTGTTCAGGTGCAATAGAACGGGGACCACGCGCAACATCTCAGAGTATATATCGAAAACTTGGATAGATTGGATTGCTCTCGGTGACCGTGGGAGTTGACTGAATAAAATATTTGTCAGCTTATCCTTGCAACGCAGATACATCTACGGCATATAATACAAAATACGATGTTTGGTGAAAGCGGCAACGACCTACTTAAAAGCCAAGCCCTGCGTGTGTTTGAGCGTACGGCGTGTGAACCACAACATTCTGAAACCCCTACTTGCGGCATTCTTTCAGTTGTCACCAGACGGCAAAGACGAGCAATGGATGACTCTTGGGTCTACCTGCTTGGAAACAAAGGGAGTGCGCCTTCACCCAGAACGTACCCTAAGATGGGAAAGTTGATTCTACGCGAAGTTCGGAACACTTGAACACGAGATAAACTAGCCCAGCCTCCGTCCAGTGCCCTCTGAATGGAAGCAGGTCTCTTTACGGACAACTACCACATCACCCCGCTTAATGTCATCGACATATACTAGTGATGAAACCTCAAGCTCCCCAGGGAGATTGTTTTAGTCGGTGGAGGACAGCATCGGTCAAAGGAACGAACCCTGTGGGACACCGCTAATGCTCGCTTGCCTGAGGGTAAGCTTCAACCCATGCGCATACACCTCTCTCTTCTTATCAAGGATACAGATGCGCAGTGAGGTGCGCGGCCAGCTACAGAGTAGGAGCACAGCTTTTGGGATGGCCTCAATTATGGTTCCATATCAAACGCTTTCGTAAAGTAGACCAAAAGCACTTCCAATAAGGGGCCATTGTGCACTGCCTCGACTCGAGATACACAAACAACCATCAAGTTTGTCAGCCACGGTACCCCCTTCCGAGGTCCATGCTGAGCACTACTGAGTTGAGTAAATCTATTCAGGTGAACTTCAACGATTCTTACCAGCGTTTCAAGCAATTTGGCTACGACTTTAGTCGGACTGACTTGCCAATAAGTGGCTGAGAGACTCCTATCGCTGCTTTTGAAGAGAAATAAAGTAATATTTTTTCATTCTTGGAGGATATAAGACACGAATATACAGGTATGATCACAGGAATGATTACAGGCTCTTTCCATTCAGCTGCAATTTTCTGCTGCGAAACCATCCTCAGCGATCCACTTAGTTCTGCCGCCAATTTAAGCCGAAGCTACAGGCGCGTCGCACCAGGCCCAGCAACAGCCTAAAGAATATCGTTGCCCTCTAAGTAAATTCAGCAAAATAGGAAGCGCCGGGGACTCTTGGGACAACTTCACCGCTAGTCAACGCCGACTCACGTACACAAGAGCCTACGTACTGCGAACTAAGTAAAGCAGCCTTTTCAGCGTCCGCATTCGCATGAACTCCAGCGCTCGAAACATCGTTGAAAATATCAGATTTGAACTACTGCGTCGTTTAACTCAAGTGGCGAACATTTACGGATTTTCTGAAGCACCGTTTCAGTACAACCGTCGGGCTTTCTTCAGGTGCTTTTTCACCTATTTCTATCGTTGCGCTGCCTATCATGGTGCTAGTTGATTGAGACGCTAGATAGGTCGTCTAGTACCCAGGAAGCCTAAGCAGCCGGTATTTGCCGTTGATACCTAGCATCAAGGGTCGTGGGCGTGTCCCTCTTCCCTTCACAAGCGTGATCTAGGGAGTAGGCACCTCCGCGAGTTAAGAGTTAAAATTATCCCGGGCCGCCTGAACCGCATCTGCTACCGAGGTCTTGCATCGCAACCCATATGCCTTGGTACGCGTTGTCAGGTAGTTCGAACGCTAACCGCTTGGATATTCCTCGGCGATGCTCTGCTGACGTCTGGACAGAGCACGTCTAAAAGATAAACAGACATACGCACTGGCACCTAACGGTGAACCGTAAGTGATTTCCGCTACGATGTCTAGTGACTTGGCAATAATAAAGCCCAACATAGGCGCAGTTGGGCACCGAGGAACTTAGTAAGGAAGTGCACAAACTGATGTAACCGTACTGTTTGAGTAAGCTCCAAAACCTGCAGTGCAGTTATTTTCCATCGAGTTGCACGCAAGGTCTGTCCAGAAAACGGTCAGTAGATTGAAGTCACCCAGCATCAAACACCTTTTGCCGATCGGGAGCGAAAAAGGCCCGGCACCCCTTTGGATGCACTTAGGGCTTCTATACACAAGCACAACTGTGAGTTGAGCCATAGAAGTGCTACTCGCTACCGAATAGCTACGAGAGTTTTGTCTGCCGGTTGCAACATGGAGTTACGCAAAACCTCGTTCACAGCAAACATAAAGAGAAAACCTTTGCCTTGTAGGCCAACGAATTGGTCACAACTAACTAGTGCGTAGACCGCCAGGTGTACTTTCCCGTTCGTGGTGTCCTGAGACAAAAAGGTTTACGTAAGCGCGACTATTTGGGGTTAAGTCTCATCTCCAAGAAGTCCTTTCAAGTTCAGCTTATTCCTTAGGCACCGCACGTTGTCTAGCCCTCTCTGGTGGTATTCGTAATGTCCAGCAATGGGTCGTGCGTTAACAGGAAGCGCACAGTTAGGGTGAATATGAACTCGGGCTGAACCAAGATAACCCGCTAACCGGGACCTTCTTCACTGGCTGCTCCCCATGTTTTGAGGTCCATGATAGCCTTTTTAGCTTCAGCCTATCCGCTAGTGGGTGCTGTTGCTGAGCAATAAACTAGGGAGCCTTTAGTTTGATAGCAAACCTCAACAGCGCGTTGAGTTCCTCCGGTGTGGCTAGGGCCGTACGAAGTAAGCACGGCCTAAGAGTTATGGCGTTAACTAGGGTGCTACACAATCTAGCTAGTTTCCTGCCAGTAACCTCGGAAAACCCAGGCGGAAGAAGCGTCGTTATGCACATTTACAACCACCGTAAATCGTCCAATGTACGTTCAGCAGGAAGTCCGGCAAAGCTACCAATGCGTTACGAAATATCAAGCTGCAAGCCATGAAAGAAGCAGTTCGACGCAATGCACTTAAACCACGAGTTTTAG